ATGTACCGCAACATTAGAATAGTACACGCTGTACAATGTCTGTTGATACTGTTTCTGTAGTGCTTTTTCAACACTCATCATGCGATCTTGCCAGTGGCGCTGTGGGCTAGGTTCTCAACTTATACATCACATGTTGGGTGTTCGAATCCAGCCGGAGCCATGACTTTTTTTTTTAACAAACATTTCTTTGAAAAAATAAAATAGGGTTAGTGTTAGGGTTACTGTCAAACTTTAAATCAACAATTGATTTAAGGACGATCTGTCAAAGTGCAATGAAATACAATATTGTTGTTGTTATTGTTGTTTTTATCCTGTAAAGCGTTTTGAGAAGGCACCTTTAAAGGCGCTATATAAAAGCGCTGATTCTCATGGAATGTGTTTTCTTTCTTTTTTTCCAACATGGAATAAACCTATTAATTTGGGTGTCTCTCTAAATTGCATTTTGAGTGCAGTTTTTGACTTTTTTTTTAATTACAACCCATAAATAAAGCTGATACTGTTTAGACTTTAAATTATTTTAAACTGTATTACAGGAGCTCAATGCACAATGCAATGTAAATCACTATCTTTGTCTTCTGCGTAACAATGTTCACCTCTCTGTCCAGCAAATTGTCCGACCAAACCAGAAAAAAAAAGAATCAAGAATAACGGACACAGCGCGAGCCTGCATTCTCTCTTCAACCGTCCACACCAGACTTTTCCCTGGGTCAGAGATTAAATAAAACTTCACTCGGACCAAACAAATGTATATTTCTAAATATCCCTACATGATCTAATTTAAGTCATTTTAATAACAATGAATAATCACCTATGCGTTACAGTACAAACATTTATATTGATTTAAATTGCGTTTTGATTTAGATCCCAAACGCGTGTTTAAATATATGTGTTTTTTGATTCACAATCAGACAAATGCAACATAAATTGATATCTTTGTCTTCTTAGTATCTTAATATACTTTCAGCATAGCTTTCTCCCTGTTTAAATTTATTTTTCTTGGAATCTTGGGATCAAACGTGGAAAGATTAGATTGTAATCGTTTTTATTTTTTAAATACATTTTTGAAAAAGTGTAATCTATACTAAAAAGCTGTACACCACCTGCTATAAAAATACATATTGTAATACTTTCGGATTCGGATAGGACGGACACAAGAACTCAGACTTGCGGAGTTAAAGTAAGTTAAAGCCTTGATTTTTCTTCTCCTTTACCACCTGCCAGCCCGGCTCACCCGCAGGGAACTATTTACAAGGAAAACGGATACCTCCCCAGACTGTACGCCCGCTTCACTGTGGGACAGCTGCACTGGTCAGTGCCTTCCTAAACGCCGCCCTGACCACTTTCACTCCTGTCCTGCCCCTCCCCGCGCACCCCAGCCGGGCGCCCTTCGGCCTCTGCCTCAGGCGAATGTGCTGCAATATGTTTTAGATATTTAGACCGGCGCGGCACCGAGAGATTACAGATTATCGTCTTTAATTTAGTTACGTTATACATCTTAGAAACGTTTCATTGCTACAAACACCACAAAACTATTTTCGATTGTATTTCTGAATGTTATGTTACACTTACAGTAGTTCACTGTTTTAAATACATCTAATTAAGAAAGTTAGGTGTTTGCTAAATTCAATATTATTAATTACTAATAGTTTATGCTCTGTAATAAGTTGTTGCACTTTCCCCCACATCTTGTAAAAATATATTTTCATTTTTCAATTATACATTAAATCTGAATCATATAATAATAATAAAAATAATAATAATAATAATTGCTTACACTTATATTGCGCTTTTCTGGGCATTCCACTCAAAGCGCTATACAGGTAATGGGGACTCCCCTCCACCACCACCAATGTGCAACATCCACCCTTTTAACTATATAATAACTATTTAACTATATAATAAGTTAAAAACAAAACCAAAGACAAAACAAGGTAAAATATAATTCAAAATATTTTGCTAACAATGTTAACTGTTTATAAATAATAAAATGTATTAACTAAGGAGAAGAATGGCTCAGTTGTTAGTATGCTTTTTGTTTTGTTTCTTTTTCATAAATACAACAGTAGTACCTGATGTCTCAGTGGCTTTCA